CCGCTGACTAAAAACGGGCATCCTGTCGGGTACCCTCGTCGTGCGCAACAAGGCAGAGTCAGCGGACGAGTCGCAGCGCGTACTGTAGTGATTTCGCGTCAAGTTAAATAGAATGTACCACTATACACCTTACATCGCTGCGACTCGTCCTTGACTCTGTCTTCTTGCCGAGCGACGGGCGTCCTGTCAGGTACCCCTTTGTAACCGTCGACTAAGTGCTAATGTTGTTGCTGGCATTTTAATCGATTACTAACTTCTTTATTTCCAGGTGCTGTCCTGAAGATGTCAATAGCAGCCTAGAGCAGCATGGCTTCTTCTGGGGGTCATTACGAGGCAAACTTATGGTGTGTAGACTTACGTGGAATGTAGCTTGGCACCATTGGCACTCCCATGTGATATGCAGCGTAATCCATCAATCCGGCACTGAAAAAATGGCGGATCAAGTAGAATCAGAGAGCTGTACGAGAAATTGAAACCGTTCCTGCTCAACCAAATCCATGTGGGTATTTTCGCTAAGTGAACAAGACCAATTGGGCATGCGTCCGCCGTGTAAGCGAAAGCGAGATCAAATTTTTGAGACATCAACCAGTCCAGAAATTTCTTGTTCTCAACTACTTCTAAAAATGCACCCCAAAATAAAGAGTTCCGGAAATTGCTGGGAGGGTTCAGATGGATAACTGTATGCGTTTTTGACCTGAAGCTCCGGGAGATTTTGAAAGCTTCGATTCAGTTACTGTTATATTATTTGTTACAGTTGCATTGTAAAATTGGAGTTCGGGGAGGGGCGTGGGCACTCTGTTATGCCCTTCAATCTAAATATGAGAAAAAGCGTTTGTGGCATGCAGACGACTCATGTGAAACGTACTTCTTATAAGTTCTGGTGTAAGGTGGAATTGCTCGTGGGATGTTCCACATTTGAACTCTAATGGTCCCAGAAAATGGTCCTGAACCGAATATGGATATTCTTGCGTAGGTCTATGGCGGCAAATCACCAGGATGGATGTCTAGGATAGAAAATGGACAGGATGTGTGGTATGTAGGTATGGAGGAACGTTATCCTGTAGCCTGGTCAAAATACCAGCTGAAATAAGCCGGCTTACTATTTCTGTGTTTTTAGCGTTTAGAAGCTCAAGGACTGGCGCTCCATACTAATATAAAAATCTATCAGAGTGCCCTCTTCTGAACGATGGGGCGCGATATTCCGATAACTGCCAGTATGCCGACTGGGCCGAATTATTGGAATGTCATACTTTGCAACACAGAATCGCATAACGCCGCGTCGACGTCGCGGTATCCAGCATCGGCCGATTTCCTTTCCGCTCGAAGCACGCGGACGTTAGCGATCACTTATTAAACCCTTCTTGAACCGCAAGTCTTAATGTTTTTGCCACAAATCAGTTCCGTGTAACAAAATAAAACAAGCAGTGTGAAGATTCACATGTATGCTATTGAAATCTTTATGTTGGTCATTTAAAGCGAGAGATTACGATAAAGTGCGTATGCAGCGTGGAAGTACATGCACCATTGGAAGCAGTAGTCAGGGGCCCAAGGAAACGAAATGTTGCGTTTTTGTGGTCAAAGGTGCGCTAGTTGCGTACAAGGCTTGCCATTCCTTTCTGAGCCCCGCCACGGTCTGTGCTCCGCCCCCAGCAGCAGCGCCCTTCGATTGCCAATGTGACGAGATATTCCACTTCCAGAGTGTATCCTATAACTTTTCATGGGATGCGTGATCAATCAAAGCATGATGCTTGCTGAAATGATAGAGGCTATCAGCATAACATGTGCAAACGACCTCCTAATTGGTTGCTAGCTCGTCCATTATCGGAGGTCAACGGGCAAAGAAAGGGGTCCCATTTTGCGCCTTCTTGACGGATTTCTTTGCTTTTTTCGCCACTGGGGCATTATTCAGCATCTCCACTTCCACTATGAACCCAGTCCAAACTTATCGTAATCCCTCGCTTTACGTATTATCGATCAAACTAATAATGTAAAAAAGTGCGCAAAAACCATATGTAAAATTAGGAACAAAAGATTCTTACTGCGACACATCCCAAGAAAAAGTGTTGACACTCTGCTCCATGGAATCCCGCATCCTTGAGTCCCACACGGATAGGTCCTGAATGGGTATCTTTGATATGAATTTACGCAATTCGTAGCTGATAAACCCTGATGGTATCGGTGGACTCGCGATGAGTTACAACACTTAACTGTGCCGTAGGCAGGTTCTTCACCTAAAACGGGGAACGATCATGTGCTTCAAAATATACACTTACAAGTAATACATTACTTTTGGTACTTTCAGAAATACGTACTCTTTTCAACCAAAAAGATGCATTGCCAAGTGCATGAACTAGGAATATGACAGCAAATGTAATCTTTTTTACAGCGTTATATCAACAAAGAAGGTCATTGGTCACATCGGCCATCTAAAAACGCGTCTTGAGGCTCCCAGTTCGCATCTGCACATTTTCCTGTAAGGTGCTGTGAAGTAGGATAGTCACAGGAAGGGAGTCGTGAGCTATGGGCTCAACGGACGGGCTAACTTTGGTTTGCAGAATGTTAGTGGGGACCTAACACATATCTGTATAGACAAAAATACGGACTGTCCTAGATGAGTCAACACGACTTTCGGTATGTTCTCAGCGGTTCATGTCTCCTCGCTTTTCTGCTCAAATCTTCGTTTCAACAAGTGTTTCGCAGAGACAAAAGCATATTAAACAGATTCAAGGGCACATATATAAGTACAAGTTTGCTTGGGCCCGCCTATCGCGAGCAATCACTTTTTAACTTTCCATAAGTTGGATACCGACCAGATGGAAAATTCGAAGACTCGATAAGTTTATAGTTACACCAGGACAATTATTCAGATGCAGAACTGCTTCGCTGTCGACTCCCAAATGAAACCAAAATCAGAATTAGTTGAAAACAGCCAAGCATCCAAAGATCCAACCTGATAGGAATAGGAGCACTAAGCTTGACCATACTTGCTGAGTTTTACTGGACCGAGCACGTAAGAATAGAAGTCAAAAATTCTCTAAGAAGCTTTTTTCAAACCTCCACCTAACAGCTCTAGAATTCTGTATTTTACACCCTGGAGACATGGTAAATGAATGCCCCACAAAACGTTGATCCCCTGAAGAAAGCAGAGCAGAAGAAACATTTTGACACGCCTCAGTTGCGTGCCACCGCACGCGCCATCCCCTTCATCTGAAGGCTCGTGTAAACGGGCAGGTGGCAGATCTCAATTCTATTCTGGAATTACTTTGAGATAAGAGTTACAAACACTTCCCTGAAGTTTGTTTGTTCCATCAAGCTACTATGCGTTTTTAACGACACAATGTCTTGGTCCTCATAATTTTGGACCACCCTGTATATTGTGATATGGGTGGTCTCCAAAATATGGACCGTTTTTCCAAAAGGTTCTTCGCATGCTGTAAGGCTTTCACGTGGGCTGCAAAACTGAGGTTCATTTCATTTTTTTCAAACCCCAGTCACGTTCCGAAAAAGGTTCAAAAGTTTGCTTGCAGTGCGTGATTTTATGGAAATTCGACAAAAATCCAGTTGTAAGGGTTACTGATTGACCTGGTCATGAATATGACACCTACTTTTGGCGTTGGCGCTATATGGAGCAAATTTGGAAGCCACGAACCTCGAATACAAAAATTGTGTCATAATGGGGAATAGAACCTAGAACCACTATTCTTCACCTCTTTTGGCCTTAATGGAGCTTCTCAGCAAAAATGGACCTCGGTCTTGTTGTCCACTCATGATTTCCTACAACATGCAAGAAACCGTTTTGAAAAAGCGGCCTACACCCTGAAAGATCTTCCTTGTTAAATCGCCTTTGATGTATATTGCTGTGAGATTGTGCAATACCAGCCGCACCATCAAGCGCTGATTTATTCATAAATGATCGCAAAATAAACGATTCTTCCTATTAAAGTTTCCATACCGGCCTACCTGAGACTTCCTTCATGATTTTCACATCACTCGAATCTCTGTCAGAAAAGCCTGTGATCATTACCATTGTGATATCATGTCCAGCTTTCGCTAACGCCTCGGCTACTCGAGTGTTGAAAATCACCTTGAAGAATGAATATGCTAGTTTAGAACATTATATAACGCGCGCTACTCAAATTACCTGGCTATTTGTAAGGTCAGGTACGAAAAGGACCATTTTGTACGCCTGGCTCCATCCCAAGACGGAAGCCAAGGTGAATAAAAGTGCGAATACAGAAGCCATCAAGGCAGATTGCGATGCAGACCCCCTCAAGAGGTAGAGCTCACAAATTGGCAAACCGAAAGTGGTGCCGGTGTTTGTGACGGGAATCAATCAGTGGACGTCTGGCACAAAACACAGAAGCGACAAACTTTGGACCTACCTTATCAGGTGCTGCTTATTTCACGTGATAAATTAGGGATTCAAAGTGCTTCCAAATGGCACACTTCACCGCTTCCGGAAGAAACACTCGTATGAACTCAATCCTCTTGTAAAGTTATGCAAAACGTCCCAAAGGTGGCTTTTGTTAGGTGGGTCATCTACGCCTCAAACGTAATGAACTTCACGACAATTAATTTATACTTCCAAATGGGCCGATTTCAGATTTTGCGAATCGATC